AAAACTCTTTTGTTAAACTTCTTGAATTAATTTAACGTAAAATTTCAGCACGCTGCAAGTGTAGGAGTGGCATCGATCATCTACATATGGATACAGCTATAACAGACACGCGTAGTGCCTAAGGCATTTGACTGCTAACCAGAAGGCTGGCGGTTCAAACCCAGCAGCCACTCCTTGGAAGGAAGGTTGTGCAATCTATTTCCATAGCGATACTGCCTCAGAAGCCCAAGGAGGGGTTGCTATGAGTCGGACCCAATTTGTTGGCAGTGAGTTTGGTTTTTTGGTGTTTTTGGTATGGCCAAGCTTTACTTCATCCAGTAAACTGATAATACAGAAAGGGTGATTAGCTAGTAACTTGGAAAGGGGATTATTGTTACTTTGACTGATTTTATATGGTTGCGTCATAATTTCACGTCACCTCTAAAACTACCAGGCAAAAGATTTCCAGGAACCTGTATTGCAAAGTTCCCCCCCCCCAAAAAAAAATAGGAAAATGGTAGACATAATAGGGAAATGGAGAAGAGAAAATGGGAATCCTCAGAAAGACTAGCCTTGCCTTCCATTCTGGTTCAATATGTTGCTACGAGACCCAGTCTCTAAGGTAACAGGTAATATGAAGGAGACACAGGTTGGGAAGTTGGAAGTATGATAGAAAGAGTAGTCTTTGAAAGCAAACAGAACTTGTTCATCAGCTATTGGCTATGAGTTTCCAAGTCCTTATCTTTATGGGATAGGTTTGATATGCTTATGAGAATTTGAATATGCTTGCGAGAATTTGAGATAATATATACCACACCTGGTACACAGGAATTGTAAACAAACTCAAGTGTCATCTCCTGTAAATTGATAGTAGCTTTCTGAAGTTTTAGGTTGAGAATTCTGCCGTGTCTAATATCATCAGGAAAGTATGCTGTAACTGATCAGAGATGTCTGCTCTGGGCAGATGGGGGCATAAGTAAATCTGTATCATGTAAATTTTCTAAAAACTATAATTATTATGATGTTTGCTGCTATTATTACAAAAAATGTTTGTATGACCGTCTTCAAGCTAGGTTTATACATTTTCAACCCAAAATGTAATCGACTAACTGCTTTACTACTATAGCTGGGTGTATGATTTTTATTGAGTTGATAATACATTCATGTATAATATCTACAGAGGAGGGCTAGAAGGGGAAATCAGAAATTGCTGTTCCTGATTTTATTATATAAAACACTTATTTTCAAAAAATATGGTATAAGAACTAAATGTAGAATGAAGGTTAGAGAGGGAAAAAGGAGAGGTTATGTTAAGGTGCAGTCATAGTTCATCATGAAAGTTTTGCACGCTGTCCCATACTGTCTTTAAAATATTCACACAAGGGAGAAGATAACGCATGTTTTGCACTTATATGGTCCAATACTCTCTGGAATTTTTTCTTGTTTTTTCTCCGAGGCCAGATTTCTGGGTAAGCAGTCATGTTCTTGTCAGCCATAGGGGATTTTCTGAATCCTAAACAGCTCGTTTTGTATTCTTGCCCCATTCTCTCTATTTGAGAACAGAACAGCAATCTGATCCAGCCTATATTTTTTAATTTGTGTATTTATAGGCATATGAGAGAATAGCTAACAGCCTGAGTATGATTTTTTTTTTTTTTCCCACCACAAATGTAGAGGAATTGTGGGATTCTCTTTAAAATACAGTAGTGCCTATCCGTTTCTTCCTCCCCCTCCCCCTTTATTACTGATGACTTCATTCTGCTTGAATTCAATGCTGCTTCAGTTTTTTTGGAGTAAACCAATAATAGATTATGTATGCTATGTTTGCACCGTGTTGATTGAATTCATCTGGTGAGTTTGAACGTGGCTCGTGAATTCACTTAATCGGCAAAAGTCTGCGCACTGGACGCAGACATCGCAGCTCAAGTTACGCCAGGGCCAGGGAAGCTGTTCACAGAAGAGCTGGACTGCGCCTCCTGCCTGACCGCGGCTCCCTAGAGCAGACAAGGCTCTTTATTTCTCCTTATCCTCATCTTTCTCAAGTGCTGAAAGGAACTTTTAATTTAACGAGAAAAAGCATAGTCAAGAAGCAGAGTTAGAACTATTTTGTGAGTTCTTAAATACATATTGAAGGAAAATAAAGGTATATGATCTCAAAAGGTTTGTTTTTTTCTTGATCAAAGGTGTCAGCTGCTGAGTGTGTGGAGCACCCAGGAAGCTCAGAACCCAGTGTTAACTATGGCCGAGGGGCTGTTAGAGTGTACACCTGGGCCTGCTTCCAGTTAAATCATCATCTAGGAGGGGAGGAGAGGAGCTCTGGTGGTGCGGTGCCTAAGGCATTTGACTACTTACCAGAGGGCTGGTGGCGCAAACCCCCGTTGGCTCCAGAGAAGGAAGATGGGGCAATCTACTTCCGCAAACACAATAGGGGTCGCCATGAGTCAGAATGGACTCGCTGGCAATGAGTAGGGGAAGAAAGGGTTGTTCCCCCAAAAGATGTTTACCCACCACTTTCTTGTCACCATTTACAAGCATAATTTGCAAATGTTTTAACAAAATAATAGATGACCTTTTTTCTATTGCTTTCAGATCCCTCATTTTATGAATTTAAACTTAAAACTCAACCATATTATTTGGGGATCTTGTTGGCATGCAAAGCTTTGCACAATGTGACCACAGCCTACCTCTCCAGCCCTGACTGTTCCTCTTCCCCTGCCTCCTTTCATATACCTTGTACACTAGACCAGTGATTATCAAACACATATTCATGAAAATGAGCATCACTATGAGCTATCAAAAAATAATAATAAACACGCATTGCCATCAAGTCAGTTCTGAATCATGGTGACCCCATGTGTTTCAGTGTAGAAATGCCCTCCATAGGGTTTGCAATCACTGTTACATTGTGGAAGTAGATGGCCAGGCTTTTCTTCTGTGACACTTCTTCTGGGTGAATTAAAACCTCTCATCTTTCAATAGCTAAAAGCAAACCATTTGCACCATCCATTCATAAGGTGTTCCTAATTGAGTTAAAGTGCCAAAATTTGTAAGTAATACACTTTTGTCAAGGAGCCCTGGTGGCAATGGTGAAGCACACTTGGCTGGTAGCTGAAAGGTCAGTGATTCAAAACCACCATCAGCTCCACAGAAGAAAAGACTTGGTGATCTACTCTCATAAAGGTTTCAGCCTCAGAAACCCTGTGAGCCTATACTACTTTGTCACATGAGGTCTCTATGGATTGGAAATGACTCAGTGGTACACAACAACAACAACATAATTTTGAGAGTAAAGGTTGGAGTACATGTCAACAGATACGGATAGTAAGGACATATGGAAAGAAGAAGGTATGTCATGCTAAGATGGAAAGAGAGAGAGAGAGAAAAAAGATGTCAGGATGTGCCATCTTGGTTACTTGTCTAAGGTTCTCTTCTCTCTACTTTAGCCATAGTTGCTTTCTTAGTAATCACAGTTTTTCCATCAATGCATCCACCTAACCTAAAACTGGTCAGCTAGCTATTACCTCTCATTTAGCTTGGATTGGTTTGATATCATCTGACTGCTAACCAGAAGGTTGGTGCTTCAAACCCACCAGCCACTCCAAGGAAGCAAGACTGGGCAATCTACTTCCATAAAGATTTACTGCCTCAGAAACCCAATGGGGGTTGCTATGAGTCAGAATTGACTTGATGGCAATGGGTTTGGTTTGTTTGGTTTTGGTTCAATATGATCATCTCAACAGACAATATTATGTAATACATATCAGGGCTAGGAAGTAAGAAGGGAATGATAGGCAAATCTGATTATTCCTACAACTTCAGGTGATGTATCACTGAGTGTCCCACTGTGCCAGATGTTATGCTAAGATCTGGGAATATAAAAATAAACAATTCACAGTGTTTGTCTACAACAAGCTCATGGTCTGGGTGTTGGGGGACAGAAAGTGATACAGAAGACAATAATACATGGTGACTGGTTTTACAACTGAGGTCTGCCCAGGAGTCATGGGGACTCAGAGGAAGAGAGCTTCATTTTGACAGGTGAGAGCAGGGCCATGGAGGAAAATCATAAAGATTATCTGAGTCTCAAAGGATATATATGTACTCAAAAGCTCAACAAGGGAGATGAAAGAATTCTAGGTAGAGGGAACAGAAGCACAAAATACCAAAATGCATTGGGGGAATTCAATAAGTGAGTTTGGGCAAGCAATGGTCCTCAACTTCTTTTGTCCTGCCTTCTACATGTATTAGGTGGTCCATGCTCCATTTTCTCTCTCATTTTGAAAACAAATTAGAATAAAAGTGAGTGCTGGTGATTTTGGGGATATTCTGAATTTATTCTAATATGTAAATGTTAAAAATATGCTGTTGGAAGTTCTCCTCTTTAATTAGAAAATCTGCAGGTATCATTATAGGAGGTCCTGGGTGGAGTGGGGAAAAAATGTGAAACAAAACTCAAAATCATAAAAAAAAATGAAGCAGGCTTATTGATCTGATAGACACTGGTGGAACCCCCAAGACTATGTTGCTTAGACACCCTTTTCAAGCCTGAAACAAAACTCACACCTGTGGCTCAACTTACAGCCAAAAAATAGACAGGACTACAGGGTGAAAAACTACTATAGGGAGGTACGTACTCTTCAGAACAATCAACCATATGAGATCGAAATGGCAGCATTTGTCCAGGGATAAATCTCAAAAGACAAGAAGGGATAGGAAAGAAGGACAAATGGAAACACTAAACACAGGGAAGAAGTGGGAAGAGTGCTATTACATTGTAGGGATTGCAGTTAATGTCATAAAATGTGTATGAACCATTGAATGGAAAACCAATGTTTTCTGTAAACTTCACCCAAATTACAATGTAAACAACAACAACAATAAAAATCAAAAAGTTTCAAAGAGAGAAACATAGGTACCAGAGAAAAATTAATTTTCATAGTTTAGCTACCTTTCATTTTTTATGTAAGTTTCAAAGATGACGTACACTTCTGTAATAGTGTTTGTTTGTTTATGTCCTGCAGTGGCCGTCCCACAGGTGGAAGCTCTGACCGTATCCAGAAGTTGCGGAAGGAGTATCATCAGGCTCGAAGGGAAGGTTTTTCTCTATATGAAGATGATGAAGGAAGAGCAAGATCTGACTATGACTTCCACTGGGTAAGCCCATACCTGATTTCAGTCACTGAATTTATCTTTAGTGAGATAGCTTAGAGCAGAAGAGCATAACCAAGCATTTTTTGCCCATAGCAAGTTATACTTAGGTTACTTAGGTTTCATGGATATGAACATTGTTCAAACCATAGCCATTTCTCCCACAAAAGTTGTTTACATAAACCACACAAATATATAGTAAAGCAAAAAAAAAAAGAAAAAAAGCAAACCTATGCCATCGCGTTGATTCTGATTCATAGCAACCCTATAGGACAGAGCAGAACTGTCCCATAGGGTTTCCAAGGCTGTAAATCTTCACAGAAGCAGATTGACTCATCTTTCTCCCATGGGGTGGCTGGTGGGTTCAAACCACTGATTTTGGTTTGCAGCCAAATGCTTTAACCACTACACCATCAGAACTCCTAAATGTACAGTTGTTGTTGTTGTTGTTGTTATGTGCCGTCGAGTCGGCCCCGACTCATAGCGACCCCTCCTTGGGTTTCCGAGTCAGTTATCACTACAGAAGTAGGATCGCCCAACCTTCCTTCCGAGGAGTGGCTGGTGGGTTTGAACCGCCAGCCGTCTGGTTAGCAGGCAAGTGTCTTAGCCACTATGCTACCAGAGCTCCAGTAGCTCGTGTTAATTGCTCTCATACTTATTCCCTGTTGTACTTGTATACCAGTTGATTTGGGCGTAGATATTAGTTACTTTAAAGAGGACAAAGAATTTTTATCACCATCCATTGAGTCTTAATCGTTGCCCTCTTTCTTTTGGATCTCAAACATCTGGGCAAGTGTCAATAGAGCATGCAATATAAGCCATTTCTTCTTTGGAAAATGATTATTAGAAGTAATAGAACAGAAGTAAGTTTCAGAAGGGTCATCTCAATTGTTTGTCTATTGGATCTTAGCAATTTACATTCTGTAGATATTAACAGTATATCACAGTTTTGAGGTAAGGACAGTTTTTGTATTATAAGATTTCCTTTGCCAAATCTTTCAACACTCAGGGAACAGAGAAGAAGATCGTGACCACTGACTGAAGAGATACTTTCTAGGATTTTCAGGATGATCCATTCTATTGTCTTTTTCAAGAAGACCAAGTTGCCCCTACAAAATACACTTGACTCTTGGACATCTACAAAAATGTCCCAGAGGAACATGCTTAGAGTAAGATTAAAATTACAGGTCACAAAAGTAGAACAGTGCTTGACACAGAGTCACTGCTCAGGACACGTTAGCTTCCATGACTAACATTAGTGGCACAAAGCTGAACATGATATAGCAGTGTTCCTGCTGTGAAACAGTTCTCCTTCACCATCTTTGGTGAGTACTGTCTTCCACTATAGATTTTAGTGCTATTTGGAGAATCACGTAAGGAACTCTATCCCTGGTTGCCACTAAGGGCACCAGCTCCTTTGAGAGACAAATCCATGAAAAGAAAGTTTCCTTTCCTCTGAGTTTCATACTCCCTTCATACTCAGGAAGTAGAGTAGGGAGAGTAGAGTCCAACAGCTAAGCTAATTCTGTCTAGCTTTCACTTCAGTGCTGTGGCATGTCACCCATGACACCTAGCACTTTTACACTGGTTTTCAACATCTACCTATTTTGCACAGGTGTTATTGTCATTATTTGTTGTCAAGTATATCTCAACTCATGATGACCCCATGTGTGCAGAGTAGAACTGCTCCATAAGGTTCTGAAACTTGTAGCCTTTTGGAAGCAGATCACCAGGCCTGCCTTCTGAGGGTCCTCTGGGTGTGTTCGAACCACCAGCCTTTTGGCTAGTAGTCAAGTGATTAACCATTTGCACCACTCAGGGAACTCCTAAAATATTTTGGCCTGGTAGATTCCTTCTCTTATGGTGAAATTTAAAAACACTCATCAGAAGTACATAGTAAGAATTGATGATCTCAAACTAAGTGGCTTAAGCCACTTCCAGAAATGGGCATCCTGTGACTATAAAGAAAACCAGTTGCCACGGAATCAATTCCAAATCATGGGAACTCAATGTATGTCATAGTAAACTGTACTCCAAAAGGTTTTCAATGACTGATTTTTCAAAGCACATGGTCAGGCCTTTCTTTCAAGGTGTTTCTGAATGGACTTAAACCTCTAGTCTTTCAGTTAGCAACCATTTGCACCATACAGGGACTCCCCTGTGACTGTAGATCAGACAAAATAGTTATTTATTGGTTGCATTACAGATGTTAGAATTAAACAGAATGACATTTACAGTGATGGGGCAACAGGTCTCTTGAAATCTCAGTAGCAGAGAAATATCTCACAGAATAGCAATTTAGATAACTATTCACTTCATTTACAGACATAAGATAGATTGACTGCCTTTGATAAAAGAAGTGAGCAACTCTATAGGTAAGGTTTGGCTTCTTTGATAAAACAAACAAGCAATAAAATAAAAGTTATTTCCACTCAGAATGAAACAGAATTCCATGTCCAATGGATTCCCCCATCTCAAAACCACTCTGAATTCCTGTGAGGAAAATAAGACACATCATTTTAGATTAAGCATCCTGGTTGTTACGACCTTATTTTGTATGATTTGAGCAAGACATCAGACTAAAAGAACAAAGATGCTTAAACTTCATGAAACTTCAAGAATTTTCTCTGACCCTCACCGAACCTGAGCTCTATAACTACACTCTTGGGTCCTGCCTTTTTAAATAATTCTATTGTTATACAAAGCAACTGTGTAACCAGACAAACTATTGAGTGAGTAAAGAAGTGTCTCTATTTTACTTTGTGTTTTCCATATTCACGTGTTGAGTCTTGCCAAAAGTGACACATTTTATGTTTTCCAGACAATTGGGGTCTAAGACTTCCCAAAGGGATGTTTGAGAAAAGAAAAAGACAAGTGTTCTTTGTGATTGTGTGAGATAACTCTAAACCAGGCATCAGAATCGTAGCATCTTTTCCCTTCCTCTTCCCAAGCCAAGGAAAAACACTAGTATCTTTTGTCCAGTGTAGGTTTAAAAAATAATACTGTAGTCTTGCTACCTTTGGAGAGATCTAAGAAAGCAAATTTATACTGGTTGGTATTAGTGTCTGTCATCTGTATCTTATGTGCACAGTTAGGTGTCTTCCTTTTCCTAATGTTATCATGGTGGTCACAGACTCTATAACATCTCTCCATTTACCTCCATCAGCATGTGGCCTCCAACTAGCCTGAAATTAATCCCTTACAGAAACAACAGAAGACAGACATACAGTAATCCCTCACAGACAGCCAGAAACTGTGGGGGAGGGATCCAATGAATCTACTGACTCAGGACCATAGTACTGGGGGACACCAGACTAAATTGGCACAACAAGATACATAAAAGCCTTGTTCTTCACCATACATTGATGAGTAGTAACTGGGGTCTTAAAAGCTTACAAGTGGCCATCTAAGATGCAGCTAATGCTCTCCTATCATTGGAAGCAAAGAAGAGTGCAAAAAGCCAAGGGCATTTGGAAGCAATCAGCCATAGGACAGGATGGCCCTCGAGGCGAGAAGAACTAGATCGTGCCTGGCTACCAATGCCAACCACTCAGGAAAGGATCAAAACTGGAGATCCTGGATAGAGTGGGAGGAAAAACATAGAACAAAATCCAAAAACACAATAATGACCAGAATTACTGGTCAGATAGAATCTGGTGAGACCCCCAATACTATGGCCCTGGGATACATTTTGGGCCTGGAATAAAACTCACTCCCAGGGGCTGGCTCTCAGCCCAATAGTAAACAAGATGTACATGCAGACTACTCAACCCAGGGTGATGCACCCACATACTCTATGGAAGTACAACCCTTGGAGCAATTGACCAAAGGGCACCAGAGGCACAACAATCACACAAAGGAAATGCAGGACACACAGGAGTGCATAGCGATGAGGGGCATTGGGGGGGTAGTTACTGGACAGGGAGGGGAGGAGACTGGGTTAGGGTTGGGGATGGTAAATGGGGAGTGAAACTAAATGTACATGAAATGTTGAATGTCAAACAAACTCTGTTCTGTAAACTTACACCTAAAGCACAATTTAAAAAAAAAAAAAAAGTAAGTTTAGAAAATTAACACTTCATTACTCCCAGACGGCCAGACCCAACAAGGCTGAACTTCAGAATCACTAGGGGAACTTGTTAAAATCAGATTGACAGTCTACATAGAGGGAGGGTGGTGCCCAGAGAGGGACCTCAAGTGCTTCTCCAGGTAATCATCAAGGTTTTTGACCCACAAGTCTAAAAATAGTTTCCATTCATTCCAGTCACTTCTGTAATCACAAATGTATTCCATCTTCCCAAGCAAAATCGTTACATGGATCAGCATTGCCAGAAATACTTTCATGGACTCAAAACTCCTGCAGCCTGATATCTCAGATGGAGAGACTTGACAAATGTCCCATGGAGTCACACTGTACTGGGAAACTTCTAAAATATTGAGAAGGAAATTAGGAAGATAAGTTACCAAACAACTTCTGTTAAACTAGTTTAAAAATAAGCCAGTAAGAATGAAAGTCTGCTCCCAAGTCTTCAAAACAAAATAACAGAAGTTACCACCTGAAAGATCATCGTGGTTGTTACCTGCCGTTGAGTCAGTTCTGACTCCTGGGCACCTCATATGTGCAGAGTAGAACTGCTTCAAGCAATTTTCAAGGCCGTGAGTTTTCAGAAGCAGATCACCAGCCCTGTCTTGCAAGGCACCTCAGGGTAGATTCAAACCATCAACCTTTGGGCTAGTAATCAACCACATAACCATTTGAGCCATGTGGGGACTCCCAAAAGAGCATTAAGATCATGAATTTTTTTTAAAAGGAAATATATTTTCTCAATGAGAGAACATAGTCTTTCTTTGACCTTCCTTAACCTTTCTGCGTCCTCCCAAGCCATCTCCTTTTCAGTACTCTACCAATTTTTCATCTGCCAGAAAATCTCTCTCCCAGTTGGAGCTAAAGACTTCTCTCTCTACCCCCTTGGGTTCTCACTTGCTCTCATAGCTCTCTCTCTCTC